TGTTTGTATTGAGTCGGTCTTTTCATGCTTTGTCAGTTGGGTCTGTGTTGTTGTATCGAGTCAGTCCCGTTGTATAGGAGTCAAGTGATTCCGGGGATGTTACCTCAGACATTACTTGCTTGTTTTGTATTTGTCTTTTTGCTTTGTTTTGAGTTTGTTTCTGTCTAGGAGCCAATTGTGCCAACAGATTTGAATGGAACAACAGTCATTTTCACACTTTTTGTGTTTGCTTCTGCCATGTGCCAGTTGTGCCAGAAGTTTGAACGAACCGGCGGTGCGTTTTGCCTGCTCTTCTATGCCTTTAAATCATCGCATTGACCTAAGTTTTTCAAAAACCTTTTGAACATTGTAAAAAAAAAAAAACGAAGAGGAAGGAATTCCTTAGGATTTGCAAAATTTGATCAACTTGAGAGAAAGAGAGGCATGTTAAACCTTAATAAATGAGATCATGTTTGTTAATGTGAGTACTGAGAAGGATCCGACTTGATCCAGATTGGTTCTACATTGTCTTTAGCGCGAGCGATTAGTCGCTTTCTTAAAAAAATTTCAAAAAAAAATGTGTTTTGCGTGATCCTGCGAAGACCTGTGTGGAAGCACTCTTGAGATTGTGCAGCCTGGGATCGCTCTCAGCCTCGAGACTCGACCACTTTGCTTTGAAACCTTGAACTTGGATTCAGAATGTTCAACGGTCAAACACAATATGAGGCCTGCCAGGCCAGATTTGAAGCAACCCTCGAACCAAGGGGCAAGAAAAGTCAGATCAAGGAAGTCAGATGTGATCAAAAGAAGCTTGCGAAGCCAGATCAGAAGCATTTCTTGGACTAGGGGCAAGAATGTCAGATGCGCTCGAAGAGCCAAAGATGGATCATTTTGTAAACCAATGAAGATCGGCAAGAATGCCAAATCCTAGAAGAGATGAAAGAAGGAAATTTTGCTGAATGACAAACGAGTTCCTATCCATAACACCAGGGACAAATTCAGCCCCCATTGGATGGACTCCTACATCATCAACGAGCAACAGCCATTCTCCTGGATTTATATGACTTCAAGATCTCAAAACCATTTGACATGGACAAGGTACACTTTTACCCTTGAGAGGCTCGCTAGGACGAAAATCCGGAAGGGCGACCTAGGCAAAAGTTAGAGCAAAGAAAAGAATCAAAAAAGAAAAAGGAAAAAAAAATGTAAAGATAAAAAAAAATGAAAAATAAGAAAAGAAAAAAAAAAGAAGAAAAAGAGAAGAAATGAAGAAAGAAGAAAAACATAGCTCACAAGGTTAAAAACTCGGAAGGGCGGCCTTGGCATTAGAGCACAAAAGGTGAGGGTTAATACACGAGTGTACCTTAACCCGGAACTACGTAAGGCTTGATTCCCATGTTTGGGATACGTAGGCAACTTCGCTCTGAAGTCCAGCCACAAACACTTTCAAATTGATTGTGTCCACGTATTGGCTTTGATCATCTTTTGCCTTCTCTGAATCCGAGAGTTCGGTTGCGATCATCACTATGAGAACTATTTACAGTATGTTGCGGCGCTATCCAGACAAGGGGTAACTTTCCATTGCCATGAGTTGCCATTCAAACAAGGGGCAACTTTCCGTTGCCATGCAATGTCGTTCAAAGAAGGGGCAATTTTCCATTGCCATACAGTGCCTGGGTCAGAGGTTGTGCATCTCAAGAGTAAGTTTCGTGCTCATTGAGCATTGGCCGTTTGCAAAAACAGGTTTTAAGAATTTTTAATGAAGTTGACTAATTTTCTCAAAAATTATTCCATTTTCCAAAACTGGACCATTTTCTTGGACCCAAAAAGGAAAATTTTCAGTGCTCACAAACTAACTTGCATGATTTTTGAATCAGAAAAGTTGAACAAGCATGTTAATCTAACTCTCATATTGGTCAAAATTGTTTTCATAGAAAGCCAAAACAAAAAAATGGTCAAAACGATGGACTAGGGGCACAGTTGAGTCAGGTGTTCTGTCTTTTCCCCATTGTCACCACACTTGCCAAGAAAGGCACTCTATTTGCTAGAAAGAGCACAACTGAAGGTAACAACAAATACCGAAAGCTCTCAACATCCTCCAAGCAAAGAGGTATCAAGCCAAGTGCGAAGCACGAATTGGAATGGATCAAGATACTCCACTCCCTCATCTGGACACATCTGATCATGTCCAAGCTCCCTAGCAGAACATCGTCAATCGATGTCAGCTGCAAAACTGTTGCACATCCTGTCGCAACTTCTCTGTGGGGAAGTTCATTGTTGTGAGCAGAAGAGAAAGAATCTAACAGAATGCTAGGGGCAAGAGCCCGCAACTTCTTGTTTATCCATCAACCACCCAAGGGAGGGATTAAAAATGAGAGATTGAAGAATAGAGAGATATACGCTGAGAGAAAAAGTAAGGAAAAGGGCTTTTTCAGAAAACTAGAGATTGAGTGCCAAGTGATGTGAGAATCACAAGTGAGAAAAGGTGGGAAACCATACCCGAAGAAACATGCTCCCTGTGCACATTTGAGTCATGTGTTTTGTTGTTTGTCTCGATTCTTGTTTTGCGTCGTTTCGGATGTCAATAGATGTGCTTAGGTTGTTTACCTTTTGTTTTTCTTTGTTGAGTCGTGGTGTGCTATGTTCAGTCGTGGGCTCAATACCCGGTCAAAAACTCATCCCTCAATTTCAAAATAATTTATTTTGTGCTCAGAGTGCTGTGTCATTCTTCACATTTGTGCAAAATAGGATTTGTTCTTTCAAAAAAACTGCAATGTTCGACCCAAGTCATGTGAGAACAGTGGAACAAGGACCTGTCTGAAGCTATGTGGGTTCCAGACTGCAAAGCAAAAGAAAAGAGGGAAAATGTGGAGCATCTTAGTGTGTTTTAACTCCAGCGAATTCCGAGACTGCATTCCAGGTGCACCTTCTCAGGCCTTGTCGTTTCTCGGGAGTATGAGTGTATCTCAACCCCAAGTGTAAGCTTGCTTCAAGTCAGAATGGCAGTTCAGGCTGCACCTGAGAGTTTCATATGCAGATGTTACCTCTCGCCAATATGAACAGGGTATACCCTTTTGAGCTGAGCGTGTTGCCAAGTCCTCCGAGAGGTAAACCGGAGGTTGCATTTGAATTGGTCTCGTTAAGGCGTGTATTTTCTTATTCAGTAGTTTACTTCAAACATGCTGTTGATATTGCACCGAAAATGCATTGTTATGCACCGTTCTCTTTGCATTGTTATGCATACTCCACCTGCATTGTTATGCACTTTTCCCTTGCATTGTTTTGCACGCTCCTTTTCCGAAACACCGGGATACGTCCCTATGTTTCTTCTCATTTTCCAAAACACCGGGATACATCCCTATGTTTCTTCTCATTTTTCGAAACACCGGGATACGTCCCTATGTTTCTTCTCCTTTTCTGAAACACCGAGATACGTCCCTATGTTTCTTCTCCTTTTCCGAAACACTAGGATACATCCCTATGTTTCTTCTCCTTTTCTGAAACACCGGGATACGTCCCTATGTTTCTTCTCCTTTTCCGAAACACCGGCATACGTGCCTATGTCTCTCCCTCTTTGGTCAAGAGCATTTGGAATACGTTCCAATGCTTATACCGTTTCGCAACACTGGGATACGTCCTTATGTTTCTCCTTCTTTCCGAAACACCGAGATATGTCCCTATGTTTCTCCCTTTTTGGTTAAGAGCATTTAGAATTCGTTCCAATGCTTATACCTTTCTGAAACACCGGGATACGTCCCTATGTTTCTCCCTCTTTTGTTAAGAGCATTTGGAATACGTTCCAATGCTTATACCTTTCCGAAATACTGGGATATGTCCCTATGTTTCTCCCTCTTTGGTTAAGAGCATTTGGAACAAATTCCAATGCTTGTGTCACTCTTTTTCCTTTCGCGTGCAACGCATCGGAATCTTGTTTGAGAACTCGAGTGTCCCCAATGGTCGCTCTTAGTCTTTCCTGCGTGGTGCATGGTTGAGATTGTATAATTTTCTTACATCCTTTTTGCATGAGATGTAGTTTGGTTTGTGTTTACTTGCTTGCATAGCATTCGCTTAAAACGTTGCATTTATTTTGCATAATTGTTTCGTTACAGCTTTCTTTGCATGATCATAAGTTATGCACGGCATTGTGCACTGTCATTTGTATCTTGCCCCCATCTACGGGCGCGTATCTTTATTACCTTGTATGCTTGTCTAAGTCTTCGACCTTGTCGAAAATGGGTCGTCTCTGGGCTTTGACATTCACTCACATCATTGTTATGACTTTCGAGTTTTGTCAAAGAGGGGCAACTGTAGACACCCCATTTTTGACCATCCTCAAGACTTGGACGTCACCATTTGAACACTCGGTGATCATCCATGCTCGTGTTCGTTTTGAGTTCCTGGAGGTCTCAGTCGCACGCCTTGCCTCAAGATCTCTCAACTTGACTATTTTGTGCTTGGTTGTGGACCAAACACTTGTGTTGTTTGTTTCTAAGGGAAGAGGATGACTTTTTGGCCATCCTCTCAACCCACCAGCCATGTCTTCCAATCACCGGCCAAGTGTACTGGCCGATCGACACTATTTGTTGTCTGCCGGCCACTATGTGCTTGATTAAAAGAACTTAGTGTATATATTATATATATACATATGGCCACATCAATGCCAAGTGATAGCCTATATATAATCCAACTATTTTTTCATGAAAATGGGATACGATATCAAAGTCGTAATATAGCATGTATTTTGGGTGTTTGGTAATGTGTTGGGATCTCATTGTAAAATTTGTTATATTTTTTTGATGATCAGTTTGTGCAAAAAATGGAACCCAGACAGCTATGGATTTGTGTTGTTCATCGCTGCACTAATCCTCATCCCATGAAAACTAAATCCCAGAATACCAAACTGGGCTTTTCTCCTCCCCTCCACAAACCACTTGCCCAAAACTGCCTGACAAATGACAGGCGAAGCTAAATTGTATAAATAAAATGATGGGTAGATTTATATCCAATGAACATATTCAAACAAGCAAACAAAAATTAAATAGTGTATATATATAGTTTGTCATCAGTAGATCTCCAAAGGACTTTGGAGATTAGTTGGGGGGAAAATTACAGCAAAGATATACTCAATGCATCAAGTATAAATGAAGATATTATAGCAGACATACACATTCACCAAAATCATCAACAAAAGGAACTAAATCCCAAGAGGATAGGCATAGTTTACCAACACTAGATTAAGTTAAAATGTTTAATCTAGCCATTCATGTGAAGTAACAGCTGACAACTTCACCTTTTGAGTCAAAAAAGTAAATGGCATTCCTAGTCCAATCAATCAGCTGCTAGGCTCCCCATCTTTCCACTGTGCCGTGCAGCAAATCATCTTCAAATCAGCTACTCAACTGCTTAGAACAATGATAAAATAAAACCAATAAGAAAGATAAGTTCACATTAGACATTCATTTTCCTTTTTATCTTATTTTTTGAATAGTTTAATCATCTTATAATTTAAGACAGATTTTTTCAGCTTGGCATCAACTTAGATGACACTTTCCTAGAAAGCACAGATACAGATATGGCATAAGCATATGATACAATAGGTATACATGGATATGGAGCGGGCAAGAGAAGGTGTAGCAAACACAAACTGGGATGGAGGAGCAATTTGAGCAACCTTGAAACGGGTCTCCTTTGCAAAAAGTTCTCTCTCTCACACACACACACAAACACACACAGGCGCACAGAAACACTCTGTCTACTTCAAAAGATGGAGGACTTTTCTCATCTTGAGAGAATGGGCAGAGAACTCAAATACCACATCTGGTAATTTCCACAGACAAGAACACATTTATACGCTTAAAAATATGTGCGAAGTATCTACATTTCTATATTTCATATTGAAATTTTTCGGCATCTAAACATGTAACCATATATATATATTATTTGTACATCTACATTTCTATATTTCATATTGAAATTTTTCGGCATCTAAACATGTAACCATATATATATATATATATATATTATTTGTACATATAAAGATCCATCTTTTTTTTTAATCAAGCTGGTTGATGCACAGTATAAGAACCTCTAGGAAGAGTAAATTTAAAGTAGCGGCAATATTTGGAAATTGACATGACTTTAAAGAGAAACCGATAGTAACCACACATAATCACATTTATAGTGTTAATAGAGTCTTATTTTATAATTATTTTTATATGTTCTAGGATTTTTAAGGTTAGGGTTATTTTGGTAATTTGCAGAATTTCTAAATATGGGTTGTGTGGGTAGCCCATGAGTCGTCTTGTGGGTCAAAGTCATTTAATTAGTTTTTTATTTGGTCTTAAATTGGTTTTAAAAGTCAAAGATTAGTAATTTCCTATTTTGGAGTCCTAGTTGGTTAAGGAAGTCTCTAAAGTCCGTAGAGCAAAATTTTACAGAATTTTCAGAACTTTGAAACTTTCTTATAGATTGTGTGATACAATCAAACCCTAATTGTGATGCCTAAGGCCTCTAGGAGTGGTTCCTAGAAACTATCTTCTTCTTCTCCTTTCTTTCTTTCTTTCTTTTTTTCTTTCTTAAATTTCAACACTTTAACAGCCAAAACTGTTCATGATTACTGTTCACAGCCCCCAAACAGTGTCAAAAAACTCATATTTTCGTGCTTAAACACTGACCCATTTATTACCCTAGACAAACCCTACTTGTCCCCTATACTCTTATTGCAATTTCAGCCATAAAACCCATTTAAAGTCAGCCCAAAAGCACATTGTTGAGGCTGTCCCTACTTGTGCAATCAACAAAGAGAGTGGGTAGAAGGAGAGGAATGTAGGTTTGTGGTTGAGTTTTCTGCCTTCGTTGAAGAAAAATGTGACGAATCATCATTAGTTGAGAAAGGGATTTCAAGTGAGAAATTAGGGTTTTTATAGGAAATGAAAAATTGGAATTCTGCAGAGGTGGAAGTGTGAGGTAGGCCTTCCCTTTGTTGTGTGATGGATAAAAACAATGGAGTAGAAAGGACAGAAAGTAGGGCTGGGTCAAGCTCTCTCGAATTGTGCAGCCATGTGAGGACTTTGGCATTCTCCTTATCCCATGTGTGAAGAGCCAACTGACAGCCCTTGACTTTAGAATCAGTGGGTCTACGTGTGGAGCCGTTGATGTAATGGCTTGCAACTTATGATGAAATAAACAAAGACATACTGAACTTGTTTTTGGTTGAGCAAAAGAAAGTCTGCAACTTTTTTTTAATTTTTTAAGTCTATCACACTTAAATCCACACTGACGTTGAAGAAAGGACACACAAACCAATAAAGAACCAAAGGCTGCAACAAATGAGAGAGAGATAGAGATAAGAAACCTGGAAGACCTGATACTACCAGTCCTGATCGAAGCAAGGACCCACCGAAGTTTACCACAAACCAGATGGAGAACATAACACCCAGATCTTCAAACAACCACAAACTAAAGAAAAGGATTACAACCAGAAATGACTGACTAGAGGAGGAGCAGCAATCGACAGAAAATAAAAGAAGAGCCACAATAGATGGAAGAAAGAGGGCTACGATCAACTGGACCACGAACGACTAAACCCTACTTGCGGCAAACAACAGGAAAGAGAGAAGAAGGGCTTGCAACCAACGAAACCCTAACAATGGCAAATGATTATAAGAGAACTAAGGGGCTGTGACCAACAGAACCCTATTCGACAATGAATGATGTTGGCGGCTAGGGTTGTAAGTGCTTTGATACCACATTACAAAAGGGAAATGATATTTTGCATTACATTAATAAGAAGATTACAAGCACTAATATATATATGTGTGTGTGTGTGTGTGTGTGTGTGTGTAACAAAAGCTGAATCCTAATTAGAAAATTACAACTAAACAAATGCTGCTTACGATTTTACAAATCTCACTCATGAGACACCACTACAAATACTACTCTTTTAACCTAATATTCACCCTGCATATGACACGATGGAGGGGAAGTACGCATAAATTGAGAATTAAAATCCTAATTTTGGTTTGGTAAGCAGAACTTGCCTCCTTTTTTTCCTTCTTTTTTTTAATAACAACTTCTATATAAAGATGGAAAGCACAAAAGCTATCCACCACAACAAAAATGTTGTAGCATAGAAACAGATGATCATTCTTTTAATATGTGGAAAATTGTTCCTCACTAAAAACAACAGGAACAAGAAGTTGATTACATTCCAAAATTTAACCATCCCAGCATATTTCAACATACAGTCACTTCCTAAGTAGCTCGGATACAACACGTGGTACGACACTAACACACCAACCCCAAAAAATTTTGAAAAAAATGTAAGACACGACACGTGGGGCACACCTGCAAAATATATAATTTTATATATTTATTATATGTCATATATAAAAATAAATAACTATTATATGTTATGTACATGAATATTTAACTTTAAGATAATAATTTTTAGAACCATTTAAGATAGTGTCCGACGAGTGTTGTTTCATGTCATGTCGTGTCAGTATTGGACACGACACGTTATCTTCTTAAAAGTGTCAAAGCTTCTTAGGTCACTTCCTAATTGGAAACAAGTGTATAAATAGAACTTCCTAACTTGAGATTGAGGTTGTTCAAGCTTTGAGAAGATGGCTCCCAAGCAAGAAGAGCTGATTTTCAAAGGTCCAACTATGGTGTTTCTCAATGAACATGGTGGCTCGAGCAGACTGTGGATTTGAAATACTAAGTCCTCAACTTTAGAAACGCAATTTGCCTGACACTGTTTAATTTAGTTGAATCTTAATTCTAGTTTTTAGTTTAACCAATCATAACTCAAACTCATTGAATTAATTTGAGAACACCGACTTTTGAATTAACATAATTTAGCCTCTTAGCCCCTGAGGTTCGACTTGGATTCAAGCCACTATTTACACGAATTGAGGCATAGTTTGGACACTAATCTAATTGATTAGAAGCCGTGGTAATATAATCAAAAGGCAACTTTCAAAAGTGACACTTCAAAAATAAATCAGTTACATCAAGTTACATACTTTCAGCAATCCAGACATGCTTTACCAAATCCACCTATGCTAAAGGCCCATAACCAAGTGAGAAACTTTGACAGCAATTATCTTTATTACACTCCACCTAGGCAACCCATGGAATTATTTAATCTAATTGATTAGAAGCCGTGGTAATATAATCAAAAGGCAACTTTCAAAAGTGACACTTCAAAAATAAATCAGTTACATCAAGTTACATACTTTAAGCAATCCAGACATGCTTTACCAAATCCACCTATGCTAAAGGCCCATAACCAAGTGAGAAACTTTGATAGCAATTATCTTTATTACACTCCACCTACGCAACCCATGGAATTATTTAATAGAAGATCACGACCTTTGGAACCATTTAAGACTTGGGGTAAATACACTTGGTCCCCATAAACTATAGGTGAGATCTCACATTGGTCCCTGTAGTTTCAGTTGCATCAATTTTAACTCTACACTTTTAATTTTTTTGCAACGTAGCCCTTTTCATCCAAAACCGTTAAAAATATTAACAAATGTTTGAGTGGATACTTTCCATCTCAAACATGTGGATATTTTCTATGAGGATTTTTAAGAAAGGACTCTATTGAAAGGCCATGCAAGTGTAGGGTTAAAATTGATTTAATTAAAAGTATAACTTTTGCCTAAAATATAAGGACTAATTGTGTAATTTACCATTGGTCCATGTAGTTTCAGTTGCATCAATTTTAACTCTACACTTTTAATTTTTTTTTCAATGTAGTTCTTTTTCATCCAAAACCGTTAAAAATATTAACAAACGTCTGAGTGGATACTTTGCCTCTCACTCAAACATGGGGATATTTTCTGCGATGATTTTTAAGAAAGGACTATATTGAAAGGACATGCAAGTGTAGGGTTAAAATTGATTTAATTAAAAGTATACCTTTTGCCTAAAATATAAGGACTAATTGTGTAATTTACCCAAAGGCTTATGACGAATTGTGTAGCAATTTACTACACAAACTTAGCAACACAGTAGAAATGAAAACAAGGGACTAGAGAATTGCGTCAAATGCATTAAAGATGAAGATCAATCAATGTTAGTAAAGGACGAAAAGATTAAAGAGATGCAGGAGAGTTATTCTTTCACTAAAAAAATAATAATAATTTAAGCCATACAAGAGATGGGAACGAACTGAATAATCAAATTGGAATCGAATAATTTAAGCCATATCAGTCTAATCGAATAATTAGGATGACAAGGTAAAGGACGCATTGAGAAAACGATGAAAAAGGGAAAAGGGATAGGGATCAAGGAAATAAAATGAAGTTTGAAAGTGGGTGAGTGTGGAGTATAAGATAGTTGATAAACCTTTCAATTATGCATAGTGAGTGGAGTAAAATCAATGTGATGTATATAGTCTATGTACTGTAAACAAGAACAAAGGAGACACTGAAAATATCTCCCCTAGTGGGTGATTTGTGGGTAGATGATCTTTTCATCATCTGTTGGGCTGGGGCCGAAACCTAATCTTAATAAAGTGTTGTGTTCTTTGCTAGGGTGGATAGTGCAAAATCAGAAGTGTTTGAGATTGATCCTGTCCATTCCAGAGAGTAAAATACCACCAGTCACATAATGTGGGGTCCCATTTATATCTACTAGATTGAAGACGCAGGACTGTGAACAGTTAAGAATCAAGTTGCTGCAGAGGATTCAAAAAAGAGTCATTCCTCTCCGGAAGTTTTCTCACAGGGGTGTGTAGTTAGAGGTCCAAGATTGTATATATATCCTCTGAAATAAAGGCTTGCAAACTAACCCAACTAATACATACTTTGTTGTTTCAGCTAAAATGAAAAAGAAAGGCAATGATGTATAAGTATAATAATAATCATAATTAAAGCAATAAACGAACAGCAGAAGAAGAAGAATAAAAATGAAAAGTAGCTAAATTAAGGAGAAGAAGATGCTGTGCTTACATTAAACCACCAAGCCATTACAGAAATAAGTTGAATACTCAGCAACTAAGTAAGATTGGCATGAAATGGAAGAGATTTCCAAGGGAAATATTCCACTCTTTGGGGGACGGCTGCCATCATTAACTCGAAACTTCAGGCAGTGAATACGAAGAGAGTCCTCGTTAAGTGGTCTGGGGACCACCTCCACCTTCACCTCCTCCTCCCCGGACGACTCCTCCTCCTCATCAGTTAAGGTTGTTGGCTTGGGATGCACTACCGAAAACCAAAATAAGCAGAACTTCTCACCGCCTAGATGAGCGAAGCTCGGAGGAGGAGGAGGACCAGTATCTTCAGGTACGTAAAATTGTCCATAGTCATGGAGCTTGAGCTTGCCCATGAACCATATCTTCTTCGCCAAATCATACCCAATTAGGCGACTTCGAGTGTGCAGAGCTGAATACCAATACAACTTGCTATCAACAGCCAACGCATGTCCCATTAAGTCATCTGGACCAAAGAAGCGGGTTTTGGGTATTTCAAACTCTTCACTTACCCAAATTTTGTTATCAACATCATACCTTCGGAGGACACTTTCCTTAGGCCAACCCACGAGAATACATGGCTTGGGAACCTGTATAGCTACAGAGAATATACTATAAATCCCATATGGAAAAGGTGGAGTTGGACAAGGGTTAGGTAGTGACTCCCATTGATTTAGGGTCGGGTCAAAAGCCAAGGCCCATGGTGATGGTGGTGGTTCTAAACTACCCAGGCAATAAAACTTGCCAGCCAGAACCAAAGTGTGCACATCTGGAGCTAGGGCATGAGGCAATTGAGGAAGAATCTCTAATTTCTTGGCCATAGGATTATTACCAAGGTCAATTCGAACCAATTGATATTCCCTTTTGCAATCCTTACGGTGAATAACAAATTGGTACAATGAAGTGTTGTGAATCACCCAGCTAGTACCATCTACCGTATACAAATTTGCAGTTAATACGGGTTTAAGAAATTGTTCAGAATCAGAATCCAAATCATACCCGTCTTTGTGGAAAGGAAGACGAGGGTTGTTGTGGAGAAATTGTTGATTGTCATCGTCGTCGGAGACTTGAAAAGCGTACCAATGATACTGGACCCAGTCCGTAAGACACATGTAGGCGAGTTTTGAAGAAGAAAAAGAAGAAGGCGGTAATGGTGAGAGTGATGAGATTGAGGGTGGTGGTGTTTGACAAAACGGATAAAAGAACGGATCAGGAGGATCAAATTCCATAACAAGTTGCAGACCGACTCTCATTTTCTCCTCGTCGTCGAAGAGAGGCGGAGGATTCATGTTGCCACGATGCATCATCATCTTCTTCAAAAAAACACCCCTAGGGTTTAGGTGTTGCATTGCAGGTACGAATTGGCATTGTAATTTGTATATAGTAGCAGGAGATCAAGTATAAATAAAAATAAATAGGGTAAATTACACTAGCACGCCCTGACGTTTCTGTTAATACATATTCTCTCCTCACACGTTTGAAAAATTGCGCACTTGCTTGTTAATCATTTTATTTTCAGTTTTTAATTTATATTTATAAAAATTTTAAAGCTGTCATAAAAACTTATTTACTAATTTTTTTTAATTTATAAATGGTTATCTCAATTTATAAATTTGAGGAAAAAATATAAATTCAAAAAAAAAGTTTATGTTGGTTTTCAAACAGAAAAATTTGACTAACAAATTTTTTTTTTCAAAAAAATTTTTTCTAAATAATTTTTTTTCCAATTATAATGTATATAATTCCATTGTCATAAATAATAAAAAAATAAATATAAATATTTTAGGCCTGAACAAACATATTTTTTAATTTATATTTTTAAAAATTTTCAAACATTTTGTTTAAACCAAATGCATTTGTAGTTTATGTTTTTTTAAAAAATAATCAAAAACCGATTTATAAAAATATTTGAAAATATAAATCAAAAACGTAAACGTTATCAAATGTTAAAATTATTTAGGGTTTAAAGGTTCAGATTGTAGTCCATGGAGGTTTTCTCCGTGATCACTGTAAATATTCAGAACCATGGGTTTTGGTTGATGTTTGCACAATGGCCCCATTGTTTATCCATAACTACCAATCGCAACCCAAAACAAAACCAATATTATAAGTAATTTATTTCCCAAATTGCACCTTGTTCCCTCAACTACAAATTATTACATTTTGTTCTTAATTTTTTTGATTTGTTTTAATTTAAGCCTTCTATTGCCGTTCTATTATGAAAGAGAACAGAAAAGTAACATATGAGTTACACCTGACTTATTCAAATGCTAATTATATATGTGCATGTGTGTGTGAAATACATATATCGTTGCAATAGTTTAAGATTGACTTTAATTTTAAATGATTGATGGATTTATGATGAATTAAACTTGAACACGTAATTGATAGTAAAATCAAATATTGATATACAGTTAGTCTTTAAAAAGATTAGGATAATTGACTATTTATCCATTAGATTTATTGCTAAAAATACACATTAAGAAAATTTGAACACTCTCGTGTCTTTAAATTTTATACTTGAGAATTATTAGTGAAAATATTAGAAAAAATTATATTTTATTGATAAATGATACAAGGAAAATGAGATAGAAATAGATTAGGCTGAGGCACAGATATCTCGTTTACTTTAAGGAGATCAAACCCACCGCGGTAGGAATAACCCAAATACCGATGCAAGAGTCACAAAACTATGACTTGCTCCTTCCAAGATACAACAGCCCGACCACTTGTCATATGGTTCAGGCCAACTCTGCACAAGATGGTGAACCCAAAACTCTACCAAGAAAAATACCCTTCTTTGCTAGTAATCTCTCTTGCATAGAAAATAGTTGGTGTGTGTTGGTGTAGAAAATAGTAGATGAGAAGGACTATTTATAGGCCACTAGGACCTTACAAGTTACACCAAAAATAAAGATGATCATTAAACTAAAGAAAATTGAGTCACTCCAAAAACTAACTCACCACCAAGTTCATGAATTCTAATTACTCTCCATTCATGAACAAGATAAGAGGTTACCAAAGTAATGAAACTCCATTCATGAACAAGATAAGAGGTTACCAAAGTAATGAAACTCCATTCATGAACAAGATATATCAATAAATAAATAAAAGATATTAAAATGGACCAACAATCCCCCACTCATTTTAATATCAACAAGGACAAGAGAGATTACCAAACAAAGATAGACTAGTATGCATCATAAAGATATGCTCTGCATTAAACCTTCATTAGTGAAACAGCAACCTCTACTCCAGAGTCAGTAGTGGTCTCAGACTTGAACTATGATTGCTTAAGGGAAATAAAGTATTACTACTCACACATAATAGTCCAGGTGTTGACATGAGCTTTACTAGCCAGCACATTACAGCCTTGTCCTAATCCCAGCTTTCATGAGCATATTTAAGAATAAAGTCTTGTTCTCATAGAAAGCGGCCCCACTTTCATGCTCACATAGGTGAAATCTGTCAAAGTTGTTCCTGTAATTGACACACCCTACTCAACAAGAGCTACAGAATTTCATTAAGAGTATAAAAACTCAACCCTCCAACATTACAGGACAAATGCACTTACATCATAGAGATGGATAACAAAATATTAAAGAGTGCATTTTTACTACCACCATATGATTCGTTCTTCCCATTGAACCTAGTTACAGGATCTCTGGTCCCTAGGTTGGGTATCCTCATACATGGTTTATGATTTTATAGGCTTTCAACTCATCCCCCTTGATGTATTCCAAACCCTATCTCTCGCCAAGGCCTTGGTTAACGGATCCACAAGATTATCACAAGATTTTACATAATTCACAGTTATGATGCCATTACTCAAGTAGGATCTCACATTACTGTATTTCCTTCGAATAAGTCTGGATTTACCATTATAAAAATGCTTGTTCACTTTACCAATAGCAGCAGTGCTATCACAACAAATTAACATAGGAGGAATTGGTTTTTCCCAAAAAGGAATTTCATGTAACAAATCTCTCAACCAATTCGCTTCATCACATGCTGAAGCTAACGCTATAAGCTCAGCTTCCATTGTAGAATTAGCAATTATAGTCTGTTTTTAGACTTCCAACATGTAGCACCACTCAAAGGTAAAAATAAAATCCGAGGTAGAGAGAGAATCACCTGACAAAGTGTTCCAATAGGCATCACTATATCCCTCAAGTACCGCAAGATACTTGTTATAAAACAAACCATAATTTTTGGTACCAGATAAATATCTCATAATTCTTCCCATGGCTAGCCAATGATCTTGACTTGGTTTGCTAGTAAACCTGCTAAGTACTCCAACATCATATGCAATGTTAGATCTAGTACAGTCAGTAGCATATCTCAAACTACCAATCATGCTAGCATATTCCTTTTGATTAATCACTTCTTTTTCATTTATTACAACAGATAAATGTATGCTTGCATCAAAAGGAGTAGCAATATGTTTACAGTCTAGAAAGTTATATTTCTTTAAAACTTTCTCAATATAATGCGATTGATCAAGAAAAATGCTATCATTAGTCTTGGTAATTTTAATTCCCAAACTAAAATTGGCTTCACCAAGATCTTTCATATCAAATTGGTTATTAAGCATATTTTTAATCTCATTTATGATATGCAAATTAGAGTCAAAGATAAGTAGATCATCCACATATAGGCTAATAATTACATGTGCATTCTCACAAGTTTTGTAATATATGCACTTATCACATTCATTCGTCTTATAGTCATTCTCAAGCATGCAGAAATCAAATTTCTCATGCCACTGTTTAGGAGCTTGTTTTAAACCATAAGCTTACACACCTTGCTTTATTGGCTAGGCTATACAAAGCCTTCGGGTTGGTCCATGTAAATCTCCTTATCTAGATCTCCATTTAAAAATGCTGTTATTACATCCATTTGATGAATTTTTAAATCATGAATTGCAGTCACTGCAATCAACAATCTAATGGATGTAACTCTAGTAACCGGAGAAAAAGTATCAAAGAAATCAAGATCAACTTGTTGCTTAAAACCTTTAGCAACAAGCCTCGCTTTATATTTATCTATAGTTCCATCCGGTTTAAGTTTTTTACGAAAGACCCATTTACACCCAATAGTTTTACAACTTGGAGGTAAATCCACTAACTTCCATGTTTTATTTGAAAGTAGTGAATCTATCTCATCATTTATAGCCTCTCTCTAGAAAATAGCATCAGGTGATGATAAAGTTTCTTGCACCGTAAGAGGAATTTCTTCTACATTGTAAAGATAATAGTCAAGGCCAAAATCTTTTTCAACTCTAGCTCATTTACTCCTCCTTGGTTGGATTTGAGAATTTTCTTATTATTGAAAAACTTGAGAAGGAGTAGAAGAGCTAGGCATGGATAAATTATTTTCAGAAATTATTTGACCCCCACTATTTCTAGATTTGAAAAGAAATTTATTTTCATGAAAAATAGTATCACCTGATTCAAAAATAATATTATTTTCCATATCACAAAATCTATAAGTTGTACTATGAAACGCATACCCAAGAAAAGCACAAGTGGTAGCTCGTTCATCCAATTTAAGTCATTTAAGATATGCAAGCCTCACAAAAGCTAAACAACCCCAAACCCTCAAATAACCTAGATTTGGTTTATGTCCCCGCCACAACTCATAAGGTACAATTTTAATCTTTTTGTGTGGCACTCTATTTATCACATGGCAAGCTATCAAAATAGCCTTGCCCCAAAGATTTGAGGAAGCACCTGAATCAATAAGCATAGCATTTGTCAAGTCAATTAACGTTCTATTTTTTCTTTCAGCTACGCCATTAGATGAAGGTGAATATGGTGGAGTAGTTTCATGAATAATTCCCAATGATTGAACAAAAGAGTTGAATCATAGAGATTCATACTCCCGGCCTCTATCACTTCTAATTCTTTTAATCTTTTTACCAAATTGATTTTCCACTTTAAGAAGGAATTCTTTAAATTTCTCAAAAGTATCACTTTTATTTTTTAATAAATATACATTTGTGTATTTTGAAAAATCATCAATAAAAGTGATAGAATATTGGTTACCACCTCGAGTTAAAATTCTTTCAAACTCACACAAATCAGTATGAAATAATTCTAGCAATTCGGTATTTTTTGCAACATTTTTATGAGACCTTTTGGTAATTTTTGCTTTACTGCAAACTTTATATTTCTCAAATTT